AATGATAATAAAATGGAATATATACAAATGTATTGCCATCGGGGGGAGTATATGTCACTGTCACCCCTGATGCTGGGGAGCAGCCCCTGGGGAAAAGTCCCAGGCTGGACTCAGCCACAGACTGGGTACAGGAGATGGATTCTGGAACTTGGTTCAGGAACATAGGGCTCGGGATCAAAGGCAGGATGGATGAAGTCCTTCCTTGAATGCCGGACATTGAAGGAGCAGCCAAAGTGAGCAAGAAGGCAGAAGGGAGGTGGAAGGGCCTGACCCTCGTGATCCTTCAGCTTTTAATTGGAATATGATGGCTATGGGATGGAATACTCCATTGGTGAATTTTAGGGTCACTTATCTTGTCCGCTCCTCCACGCAGATGTGGCTTGTACTTTCTGCCCCCCTCTGTGTGGTACACAAGCTTAACAGTGACCTTGTTCTGCATACCAATCCTTGGTAGTAACTCTAAACATGGAGTGTTATCACTGCTAGAAGCAGACAGTTTGCGAAAATATGCTGCTGACTTCAGACAGTGCAGTTAGTTGGAAGAAGCTTTAGCTGAAAAGTTAAATCCTTAAACAGAACCTGCTCTGTTCTACCCCAAACCAGGACAGCAGTCTAGAAAGCCTCTCAAATTAATTACATGGGATATCCTGTCTCTGTTCTAGCCAGAAACAGGCTGTGAGGATGCAGAAGATGACCATCACCTCAGACTCTGGGTTTTCCCCTTTAGGTAATGCACCAAAAATTCCCGTTTTCTGAAGTGCCCAATAACAGCAGCTGTACAAAGTGGTTGGGTGGCTCTGCTTCTGAACTACAGCAGGTCCTCTCTGCTAGTGAGAGGCAGTGTATAGACACAGTTGTCAACATGGGATACTCGCCTGAAAACGTCCTAAAAGCCATGAAGAAAAAGGGGCAGAACATAGAACAGGTAAGAGTTTGTGCAATGAGGAAGAAACCCTTGATTGGATGCCGATTCTGCTGAGAAACAGCCTTGGGTTTGCAAAATGGATAGGAGGGGATACTTTATTCTAACAAGGGGTTGCAGCCAGTAGCTGCTGCGATGTTAACCACTAGAGAAGCTGTCATCTGGCAGTAAAGGCTCCCAAAACCAGAGAAAAGAGTGTTTGTCCATGTTTCTGATGAGAGAATGCTTGAGTCAGCCGCACGTGGGTTGGAGCTGCGCTGATCTTAGGATGGGCCCTTAGTGCCATGTGAAGTTGGGAGAGGTAATGGGCCTTTCCAGGAGCTACAAAACCATCTGAAGAAAGCTTAGTGTGTTTCTATGCCATGCTTTAGTGCTGTGTGACAAAAAACCAGCCAACTTCCCTTGTTCTGAGCATGGGTTACAATGCTGACCTCTCTCCTTGTAGAGAGAGATTGGCCCCTGCAGGCTTACGACAGCCCTGTAAGGCTCTTGCAAGGCACCCCTGACCAACTTGTGTGTGCTCTGGTTGTGGTGCTTCCTGCTCCATGTGTTGGCTCAAATGCTTGCTAAAACCAGGTCAGATAGCAGAAAGTGCTGCAGGGTGAAGCATGGCTCTGGGTCTTGCATCTGCCTCAAACAAACACTTTAAAGCAGCGAGAGTGTAGCCAAACTTTCCATGCTCACTTTAGGTTGGCTGTGTGATGCAAAGAGCATCTGCTGGTAGGACTGTACCTGTCACCTGGGGAGGAGTGTCCCAGTGACTTCTTGCGGAGCTGATCTGCTTGCCCGCTACCTATGTATTGAGAGCGGTTTAAGTTGTGCACTGGTACAAAAAAAAAAAATCATAGAATCCTTAAGGTTGGAAAAGACCTCTAAGATCATCAAGTCCAATCATCAACCCAGCACTACCATGACCAATAAGCCATGTTCCAAAGTACCACGTCTACATGATTTTTGAACCCCTCCAGGGATGGTGACTCCACCACCTCCCTTGGCAACCTGTTCCAGTGCCTCATCACTCTTTCAGTAAAGAAATTCTTCCTAGTATCCAATCTAAACCTCCCCTGGCACAACTTAAGACCATAAGTCCTGCACTTGGGCTGCAGCAACACCATGCAAAGCTATAGACTTGGGGAAGAGTGGCTGGAAAGCTGATGGGCAGAAAGACCTGGGGGTGTTGATTGGCAGCTGGCTGAACATGAGCCAGCAGTGTACCCAGGTGGCCAAAAAGGCAGATGGCATCCTGACTTGTATCAGGAATAGTGTAGTCAGCAGGACTAGAGAAGTGATTGTCCCACTGTACTCAGCACTGGTGAGACTACATCTCAGGCACTGTGTTCAGTTTTGGGCACTACAGT